GTCTTGTTCACGAGTGAGGGAAGGATGGAACGGGAGATTGACAGGCGGATCGGTGCAGTTTCTGCAGTAATGCGGTCAATGTACCGGTCCGTCGTGGTGAAGAAGGAGCTGAGCTGTAAGGCGAAGCTCTCGATTTACTGGTCAATCTACGTTCCGACTCTCACCTATGGTCATGAACTTTGGGTCATGACCGAAAGGGCAAGATCCCGGATACAGGCGGCCGAAATGAGCTTTCTCTGCAGGGCGGCTCGGCGCACCCTTAGAGATAGGGTGAGGAGCTCGGTCACCCGGGAGGAGCTCAGAGTAGAACCGCTGCTCCTCCACATCGAGAGGAACCAGCTGAGGTGGCTCGGGCATCTGTTTCGGATGCCTCCTGGGCACCTTCCTAGGGAGGTGTTCCGGGCATGCCCCACCAGGAGGAGGCCCCTAGTGCCAAAAAAAGTGACCCCCTTATAAAAACAGCTCTAAAAATGTCAAATTCATATTTTTTCTACTTTAAACTAGCCAATCTTTTAGAACTACTTCTGCCTGAAATATACATATCAAATATGAATCATATTTCTGGAATTTTTAACCCTTTATAGGCCAGTATGTTTTCATAACTCCACATTTTTGAGAAAAAAATGAAAATAATTTCCAAAAAAATACATTTCAACCAGTATTTGATTATTATTATTATTATTAGGCCCTGGGATGGGTCAATGACTGGCAGCAGCATTGGTTTTGAGGAATTTTTTTATTTTGGCAGTGGCAGATTTTAAGTGGCTAGTGGCAAAAAATGGCTTCTTACAAAAACATCTCTAAAATGTCAAATTCATTACCCTGTTGTGTTCTAAAAATAAATTAAAAAATACAAGATTAGTCTGAATCAGAACATTGATTTACAAGAACACTGAAAAACATTAACCTTGAATCACTGTGTATTAGAGTCCAGCTCAAGTAGAGCAGAAGCTGCAAATAGAAAGGGAGTGGTTCTCGCAGATAAACCTGCAGCACTTACAGTAGGTGCCTCCAACCCTCTTTTTTGTGCACAAGTGGCACTGCCATCTGTCATTGACTTTGCTCCTCTGAGAGGGGCCTGCAGCAGCAGCACCACCGCCCTGCAGTTCCATGACGAGATCTGCAGCTGTTGTAACCTACAACCATCGCTGGCATCTTCTTCTTCTGTCCCCCGCCAACATCGGGAACGTGGTGCTTGGTACTGAGCAGCAGCACATTTATTACCAAAAATACCTGTGGGGTTATTCTGTACATTTCAATAAACATTCTGTTACCACAGACAGATGCCTGAATGGGACAATTCTTTGTTTCGCTGATCTGTTGCTGCTGTAACACTGCTCTTGTTGTTAAAAGCACATTTATTCATAAGTAGTTTACCTTGTTATGGCCCTGCAAAAGTTTGGAGCAGCAATTTTGGTGTCATTAGATTGTAACTTTTTGTGATTCTTTGTTTACACAATAGAATTAATAAAAAAAATTTAAGAATCGTTGGACTTTGAGCTCCATGAATCCTCATGAAATTACACTGCGCAGTTCTCAGCATCTGCAGTGTGGTGTTGTGAAATTAGCAGGTGCCAGAGAACTAAAGACACCCTGCCGCAAGACGATTACTTTTATGTTATGTTATGCCATGATAGATGTTGGGATGGGGAAATTCCCTGAAAGTCCTTTTACCAGATAGTGCGTGAGACATGCTAAATAATTAACTTATGTATTCTAAAATATATTCTTAACTATTCCTTTTCTAATATGGTAGAATAGTTATACACAAACAAAGTGCCTATAGCTACTGGGTGCAAAATTTTGAATGATGGTATGTGCATTGTGGCATGTAAAAATTACAGACCTGTTCCTTTACTTAGCTTTTGTGACAAGGGAGCATCGAACCGGATCTTTCAGGTAGGCTACACTGTTTTTTTATTTTGTGTTTTCATTGTGTATTAAGACAGTATATTTGACGAAGGTTAGACGCGCTAATGTTGTCACTGTACTGTACTTTGAGACAGAAGGTCGCTCAGTGAAATAACCAACATTCTAAATACAGTGGCGTGTTATCATTACAGTTTGTGTTTACATTGTGAGCGCAACGTGATCAGTGATGTTTATCGTTGCTACCAGGTACATGGCTAATAATACTGGGTCTGTCTATATAAATAAACGTTATAATAATGAGTGATCTCTGTGTTCATATGTGAACCAAATAATGGAGCTTCATAGCATTAACGTTAGTATATTTGACGAAGGTTAGACACGTTAACGTTGTCACCGTAAACTGCACATTTAGTGTGTTTATTTAGTTTTTATGTTGTGCACACTGGGCGCCATTGAGCTGGAGTTAATTTCCTTGTGTTCTTGAAATACTTGGCAATAAAGTTTATGCTTATGCTTACTTTGAGACCGAAGATCGCACATTGCCTTTTGCAGTAAAATAATAATAGCCCCAGTAGCCATGTTGGGTGCTACGGTGGCTGGTTGTCTAGGGCAGTGTTTTTCAACCACTGTGCCGCGGCACACTAGTGTGCCGTGAGAGATAGTCGGGTGTACCGTGGGAAATTATCCAATTTTACCTAATTGGTAAAAAAAAAAAAAAAATTTGAAAACGAATTCATTACTTTCTGCAAATAATATGCCATTTTCGAGTGTCTGTGTCACTGGCAGAGTAATTATGTATTACTCTTCCATATCAGTAGGTGGCGACAGGTAAGCTAATTGACTGTACTGTGTTGATTGATTGTACTTTGAGACAAGAGAATTAGTGATGCATGCATGGGACAGGTAGCGGTCGCACTAGTATGAGTAATGGCCAAGTGTCCACACATTTCAAAATCATTTTCACTCTCAAGGTCTTAGAACCCCTGCACACACCCACGTACCCGATCCTATCCTTCACCCTTATTATCATACAATCACACTCAGCTGGTGATCAGTATGACTTAGACCCATGCTTAGCTGAAAGGCAGTTTGCCCATGTGAATAGCATTGTAATCTACATAGGCTACATAAATCAGGGCAAGTCAGTGGGATGAATGATTTAATCTCAGTGGTCTTCAGTGAATACGAAGATCCATCTTCCCAGATGAGATGTCCATTTCCCTTGACGCCGCTGACAATGCCAGCTCAATTGCCAAGCGAGACATTTAGAGGCAGATGGTGTCTGTCTGAGAGTGGAATCCTCCTTTGGAAACGAAATAAGTGACCCGGGCAGTCCCCAGCACATCGTCAGCTGGCACGGGTTGGAGTGCATTCCAGGCGGCGAGGCACACCTACTCCCAATGATTAGAGTAGTACTTAAGGAAAGCGTTGTTGTGTCCTCGTCGCCAGATGATCTCTGGTAATCCTACTGGTAACGTTGATTTGAGCTCATGTCAAAATTCTATGTGAATGAACCGC